AGGCGAAGTGCTGCCGAAATTTCTCGGCTATTTACTAAGTTTTATTAATTTTAATTTAATAAAAAGAAATACTTAAAAATCTAAAAATTCCTTTGTGGCATTTTTTTCCTTCCGTTATACTTTGCAGCAAACATTTTTGAGGCTTTCGGCCGCACTTAATCCCCACGGGGGGCGAGGTAAAGTGCTGCCGAAAATTTTCAGCAAATTGTTAAATTTTATCCAATTAAATCTCAAATAATTAAAGAAAATACTCTAATAATTATATTTCCCTTTTGTTATTTTATCCCTTTTGCTGAACTCCTGCGACGGCTACTTTTTGACGTCTTCGGCCAAACCATACCCCAACAGGGGGGGAGCCAAAGCATTGCCGGGACTTCACGAGAATTCCTAAACTAAATTATTATTATTATTATTATTATTTTTTAATATATAAATATATATATATTAAAAACGATTATAAAAATTAATTAAAAATACACGAGAAATTTAATTTTTCAGCGGTCTTCCTCTTTTTGATTTTAGTTCTAGGAAGGAAGTGTTTGCTTAGGGACAATAGTCCCAAACCCGATCCCAACGGGGGGAGGCGAAACCCTGCCGAATTTTTTCTTGTTAAAATCGCCAAATTTTATTTCAACCCCTAAAATGCATCAAACTCAGTGGGCTTATAAATGTGTTTATCCATGATGTATGAAAAATAAGAGAGGGATTTTATCTTAGCTAGATACATTCTTCTTTAATTTTTAATTGAAAAATACAAAGAATTGCCTAAAGAAGGAGCGAAAGGGGCATTGCCGTAGGGAAGACAACGTAACTTGTCCCCGAAGGAGTGAAGCAAGTGACAGGCCGTCAGTTGGATGTGGCCGCTAGAGCAAGAAGAGGTCTATGGGGCCACGATTGATGGAGACTTGGAGCCCCTTGAACTCATTGAAGGAGATCTAGTCGAGCTCACGATCCCTGGATGCGGAATTCGACAGTTTGACGGTCAGTTTGCGTGGAGGCCCATAATCTTGTCGGAGGACGCGTGGCTTTGGATGTACAGGGAGCACCGGCCGGCGCAAGGAGTAGGCGTAGTGAGAGCCTGCTTGTATTTAGAACCGGATGCGATCAGGGAGGCTGTAGTGGGCCTCGTGACGACAGGGACTAGTGGCACGGTTAGCAGCGTGTTACGCTATCTAGAGGACGAGGTAGCTGCCTTCCGAGCAGAGGACTCGAGCGACCCGTTGACCCTATTTCACGGGCGCCCTCCTCTTGATATCTCGGGCGAGCTGGTGGTAGCACGGGACGGGTTTTTCCCGTACAGTGTTAGGAGTCTGCGAGCGGTAGTTCCGGCGTTCGTGGTAGAGAGTGTCTTTGGAGGCATTGGAGGAGTAGTGGAGACATACCTGGCCTATCAGGATCTCAAGATCCTGGCGAGGAGCACTACAGATTTAAGCTACATCTTTTATTCACTCGCGACCAGAGGACTTCGTTGGGGAGACGAGAGGGTTCAGCTTATAGAGCTGATCCGCTCAATAGACGACGAGTGCCCCCAGTCTCCGTGCGTTTGGGATTGGCTAGACCGTGAGCTCCGAGCAGGACCCGAGTACGTGACTTACATCGGGCGGCTCTTCTCAGACGAGTGGGAGAGCTGGTGGGGTGAGAACGCCGAGCGACCTCTGATATACGGCCACCAGTTGGCCCAATACTACCAAGGTATAGGACAGACCCCATACCGAGTCCAGGACGAGTTTGACGACGGAGGATGGGAGCGAGAGGGCGACGAGGACGTCTGGGGGCCGAACTGGGTTGACCCGGAGAGTGAGATTGGCGAGGAGGGGATTGACGTTACACACGCCTGTTTCTCCAGGATAGGAGTAGCAGTCCTGGCATAGGACGTTGAGGAGCATATTAGGACGGCGGTTGAGTGAGCCTTGGCTACTGATATCAGCGAGTAGTGGAGAGCATGGCAGACCGGGATATACTGAGGGTGACTCTTTCCCTACGACGAGATAGGACAGGAGGTTGGGAGGATGAAGCGTTAGGCAATGTAGAGCGACAGGTCAGANAGCCGGGTTTGGGGTGGCCAGGAAGGCGGAAGAAAGGTTAAATCGTAAAATCAAGTTCCTGGCCAAGACCACTTTTGACCGGCACTTGTTATTAGAGGGCGATCTGGCGGGG